GGGAGACCGAGAACACACCCCAGCCTAGAGAACGCTTTCCTCCCAGAGCTAAGCAGCGCCCCCCTAAGCATGGTCAGCCAGGCTCTGTCCCTGGCACATCCCTCCACGTTTCTTTGTTACCCTGTACTTACCACTGTCCTTGGCCCATCTGTGTTTGGAAAATGTACCCTGAACTGCTCTTGAATGGGACAAGTAACCCACCTCACAGGTTCCTAACACCAGACAGGAGAGGATGGATTCATTCTTTGAGGATTGAAATATCACTGAGCTTCTTACTGCTCAGAACCCGCAGCCATTCAAAAATTGCATCATGCCCTCTCAAGGGATATGCCCTTCAGATCTGCCCTTCAGATCTGCCCTTCAGCCACGGCCTCGTCCTTCGAAAAACCAGGTCATTCCGGAGAAGTTGCTGGTTTTGCACAAGAAGAAAAATGCTTCATGCAGGAGACCCGTCACAGCCGGTCCCCTGGAAAGGTAGCTTGCTGTGAGAAAGGTGGAGAGTGCCCTGGCCAGTTGCTCAGTGGTTAGAGCGTCGGCCTGCGGACTAAAGGGTCACGGGTTTGATTCCCAGTCAATGGCATGTACCTCGGTTGCAGGCTCAATCCCCAGCCTGGGTCACAGTGCATGTGGGAGGCAACCAATTGATCTCTCTCTCTCTCTCTCTCTCTCTCTCTCTCTCTCTTTCTCTCCCCCTCTCCCTCTCTCCTCTCCTCCCTCCCTTCCACTCTCTCTAAGAATCAATGGGAAAACATCCTCGGGTGAGGATTAAAATAAAAGGTGGACAGCCCAGAGCCCACACGAATTCATACTAAAGGCTGGAGAACCGGACTTCTTGCTTCATGACTGATCTTCTTGGTTTAACTGAAGGCCAGTTCCTTAGGTCCTGCCCCAGCTCATCTCATCTTCTTCAATGAATAAACGAATGAGGGCAGGTTCCTTAGCCCGAAGTGGCCCGCAGGGGTCTGTGAGGCCCTGGGGGTGCAGGCAGAGCTCTGGGCGCCTGTAGGGCCAGCAAGAACCTTCCCGGGGCCAGTGCTACACACAGGAAGCCCCTCCGTCCCAGGCCAACCAGGACAGTTGTCATCCTGTCACCACCCCCAGAGGAAGGACCCACAACTTCCCAGTTCTCAACAGGGTCTGTGCCCTTGAAGCCGCAGAAGCAACCCCTTTACAGCCATCTCAGAGCGGCAGGGAGACGAGAGGGAAACGAACTTGCTGGGACTCCTCTGCGTTCACGCTGGCGGGAGAGCTTTGTCAGTGGGCACAGCGCCCTTACTGCTCTCACTGGCAGCGGAACTGGCATTTTTTTCTTTCTCTCCCGGTATTGCTCACCCTGCTACCCAAGTTACCAGAAGTGGGGCCCCGGGGCTATTTCCAGGGGGACCAACACCTCTGCTGGCCCGCACTGGCCCTCCTGCAGGCCCTGCCTGGCGAGCTGTACGTGACTAACTGTTGCCAAGAGGCGGTGCCCTCCGGTTGTGTGCCCTCTGAGACAGGCCTTTCCTTCGCTGGAGGACTTCCGGATGCCAGAGGCGACACGAAGCCACGGCCAGGCCTACGCAAACCTCACACCCACGGCTGCTCTTTCTCACGCGATAGGCCCAGTGCTCACCCTTATCTACACACATCTTCATCCCCCAGGCCGGGCAAACATTGTTCTTCCCTTTTCTCCCCCGCTTCTCCCACAGCGCTCCTCTCACTGTAAAGGGACAGGCTGTCCCTTTCCTCCTCGCAGGGCCCCACGTCACACGAATATCTGACTGTTTATTGACAATGGTCCTCAGCGGGATCTATCTCGTGAGGCTGGAGCCACTCCACGCTGCCCGCGTGGCCCTGGGCGACTGTTAAGCCCCAGTGTCTCTATTTTCTAATGTAAAGGGGGGATCAGCTACAGTTTTGAGCACCCCAAAGGCAGGCCCTGCTCCAAGTGTTTCACATGCACTGATACAGTCAGCTCCCAACAACCCTGCAACGTAGGTGTTCTTAGTGGTCCCTCTTGACAGTCGGGCAGACTGGGGCTTGGGAAGGTTAAGTGTCAAACAGCAGAGCCCCGACCGCCACCCAGAGCCAGCGAACTGCACCCTCTGCTCCAGGGGCCACCTCATCAACGGGCTATTGTGCAGATGAAGCAATGGCCGAACGCAGGCTTGCACCTGAACGCAGGCTTGCACACGGTCAGTGCTCAGTAGATGTTTGGTAACCAGACAAAGACCACCACCCTAATCATCACGGTCACGCTATTATTGAAAATTCTCAAGGGATGGTCATCTCTCACCTGGTGGTCCTCTGAGTGCAGTCCCGGACCAGTGTGTGAGCATCACTGGGGACTCTGGCTCTACCCCAGACCCACTGAGTCAGAACTGCTGGGGTGGGGCCCGGAAGTCTGTTGGAACAGCCCTCCGGGGATTCTGATGCATAAGAACGAATCCAACCACCAAGGGAGACAGGGAGGACAGATAAGAACACTGAGGTTAGGTGTGGTGTGTGTGTGTGTGTGGAGGGGGGACAGGGAGGGGCTTGCCCACCACCCCCCAACTAGTAAATGCCACAGGTGGGGCTTGAACGCTTGCCTTCTGACCCAGACTTTGTGCTTCGGGCTACACCCTGATGCTTCTCCTGCCTGCAGCTCACCACAAAGCGAGGGGTCTGCCAAGTACACTGGGTGAGCAGGCAGGGACTGCAGCCCTGTGAGGCCCTTCGAAGATCTGGAGACAACGCTCCCAAAATAAATCTCTTAGCTAAACAGACACTTTCCAAAAGACATCACCATTTCCCAGAATACAGTGAGTGACCTAGAAACCAAGGCCAGAAAAGAACCTCTGGGACGGAGGTAGCTTTCTTCCTTCCTCCCCTCCTCCCCCTTCCCTCCCGGCCTCCTCCTCTCGTGTTCTTTCTCCCTCTCCTCCTTCCTTCTCTTGCTGTCCGAAGAAATGTCTAAGGATTGACCACTGTGGCATCTTCATTGAGTTCGTTCTTCAACAAACGTTCATTGAACACTTGTTGTGTGCCAAGCTCTGCCCATGAGCACGGTGGTTCCCAAAACTCAAAACTCGAGAGAATGAGTTCAAGCCTTCACACAGGTTTCCGCCTCAGGCCTGCTAACATCAGTGCCCCCATGAGTGCAGGTACATTCAGGCACAACGGGATGGAAGGAAGAGAGCCGAAGGCAAGACACACCTCATGGCATCTCACCTCGCCAGGTACCAGCTTGTGTGCTTTGGGCAGGTGATGGGACAGGTTATTCTGACCTTACTTTCCTGCTCTGTCAGAGGGAGATAACAAAACCTGCAGGTGGTGTTCTTAAAGGCCCTGACACATAGGGAAAGGCAGCTTTATGTTATTACTCCATTTGTATCCAGTTCTTGTACGTCTTACCTTTGGGGAAGGGCTTGTGTGTTAGACGTTTAGCTGCTATACTGTTTGCTGCAGGTAGACTTCGTTTTCATATCTTTATAGAGATGACACTTTTTGTGTCATTGCCTAATGAATTGTGTTGTCCCATTCAGTATGCTTAACCTTCGATTCTACTTTATAGGACAGAAATATTGCCACTCCTACTTCATTTGTTTGCTTCTTTGTATTTCGCTGGAATCACTTTAAGTCATTTAAAAGTCAAAGTCTCTGTCTTTTTAAAGCAGACTTTGGTTCAGACATTTAGTATAATAGCGTGTGTGTGTGTGTGTGTGTGTGTGTGTGTGTGTGTGTAATTTTACTCCTTTATTAAACTTTTAGAACTCAGTTTTGGCCAAGCAGTTTTTGAGGAAAAACAATGACTCATTTAAAGAGGAAAGAAAAAAAGATAGGAAAAATGTTGGCCATTAGGCGGCTTTGACCTCGTAGAACTCAGTGTCCTCACCTTCACAGGGATCCAGAACAAACGAAGGCGGATGAAGGCAAAGACGGCGATGGTGTGTGAGAGAGAACCACACCAGTGAAGGTGAGAAACAGTGGAGGGAAAATGCTCGCTGGGGGTGAGTGGTGCTCATCTAATCATGGGAATCCAGATCTAGAAGAGGCCCTGGACTAGAAAGCCCAGCTGGCTCGTTTCACAGTGAGGTGAATGACTTGGCGAGATCACGCAGGCTGCTGGGCAGAGCAGCGACCATACTCACATCTGCTGGGTCACCATGTCCCTAAACCCTGGGCAGCTGGAGGGAGCAGACTACGTCCTGAAGGGCTTACTTAAGGAAAATCAGGCTGAAGCTTCCTTGCTGACGTTAGGAGGGAAATGTGGAAGAACAGGCTCCAATACAGTCAGTGGTTATTAACGAGAAGAAAATTCGTATCTTCCTCTGTGTGCTCATAGCTCAGGGTATTACCCAGCCTATAAGAAACGCAGTGAGCAGAGTGGACGAGTATCTCTAAATGCATCAGGAGAGCTGGAAAGGTCACTAAATATCTGGGAAGTGAAGTATGTGACACATGAAAGCTTTCGGGTTAAACACGCGTATCAATGGGGGAAGGCAGGATTCCATTTACCAAACTATGAAAACGTTTGCGTCTGATGAGGCACCCCTGCATCTGTATTCAGACGCATCCAGAGGTAGCCGTACAAATAGCTCTGTAAGTGGGAAACTAGGGCAATGGTTGCAGAAGTGACTGGTCTAAATTTAGCTGGAGGCCCAGGAATGAGATCTCGGGTTTCTGGTATCCAGACCTTGGAATGTGGTTTCTGAGGGCTTAATAGGCTCTGAGAGGTGGTCACTGAAATGCCAGCGTACTCACGTCTGCGTAGATGTTGGTGCCAAACACAGGAGCCCAGTAGGACGGCTCGTCTTTGCAGTGCGCCGGACAACGAACTCTGGAAAACAAGAAGCATTTGTGTGATGGTCATGGTTAGTGGGAAACAAAACTTCTTGAGAAGCAGCTGGACCTCTTTCTTTGAATTTCAAGATGTCAGTTCTTAGATGGCAGGAAACTATCATACTGTTTATTCTTTTTAAAAAAATAAAAGCCCTGGCCGGTGGGTCCGTTGATTAGAGCATCATCCTATATACCAAAAGGTTGTGGGTTCAACCCCTGGTCAGGACACATACCTAGGTTTTGGGGTGTGCACGGGAGGCAACCAATTGATGTTTCTCTCTCACATCGATGTCTCTTTCTCTGTCTCTAAAGTCAATAAACATATCCTCAGATGAGGATTAAAAAAGAAGAAAGAGAAAAATATATACTCCTCCCACTCTAGCAGTGGTAAAGATATGTTTCCTCTTCTTAAATAGTTCATACAGAATTTAAAAACCCCATACCAAAAGACACTCACAGACAACAAGGTGAGAGGGGATACATATCTAAGGGAGGGGAGTGGGGGACTGTGAAAGGTGGTCCCTCCCATGCTTGGGTGTTGGCCAGTTCATACGTGGGCACATTATGGAGATTATAATCAATAGACTTTTTAAAGGTCACTTCCCCGTGTGGGGGAGGAAAGGGTGGAGGGCCCTCACCTCTGTGAGTCACAGACTATTCCCGGGAGGGGGGGCCGATAACCTGAGGCGGAAAGGCGTCAGGTCACCGCCACCACGTCAGCCACCACGTCCCTGCCCTCAGCGCAGGGGATAGAGGATGAGGCGCTGCCTGGAACTGGGGACGGGTGGGCCCAGCCAAAGGCAAGAACTTCACTTAAGAAAAGGCCTTTTGTCTTGATCTGGAACAGTGCACCTCAGCGGGGGCCCAGGGAGGGGAAATCCAAATGTGGCCCGGAAGCCACCTGGCCCCAGGACAGCAGGATGGCCGGAGGGAGAGCAGCCAGGCAGGAGTGAGGGCCTGGATGGCGCGGGAGGGCGCAGGGGTGGCAGCCCCATACCAAAAGACACTCACAGACAAGGTGAGTGGGGATACATATCTAAGGGAGGGGAGTGGGGGACTGTGAAAGGTGGTCCCTCCCATTGTTGGGTGTTGGCCAGTTCATACGTGGGCACATTATGGAGATTATAATCAATAGACTTTTTAAAGGTCACTTCCCCGTGTGCGGGAGGAAAGGGTGGAGGGCCCTCACCTCCATGAGTCACAGACCATTCCCGGGAGGGGGTGCCGATAACCTGAGGCGGAAAGGCGTCAGGTCACCGCCACCACGTCAGCCACCACGTCCCTGCCCTCAGCGCAGGGGATAGAGGATGAGGCGCTGCCTGGAACTGGGGACGGGTGGGCCCAGCCAAAGGCAGGAACTCCGCTTAAGAAAAGGCCTTTTGTCTTGATCTGGAACAGTGCACCTCAGCGGGGGCCCAGGGAGGGGAAATCCAAATGTGGCCCGGAAGCCACCTGGCCCCAGGACAGCAGGATGGCCGGAGGGAGAGCAGCCAGGCAGGAGTGAGGGCCTGGATGGCGCGGGAGGGCGCAGGGGTGGCAGAGAGAAAGAGGGTGTGTGTGTGAGGGATTTCGAGAAAGAAACCAGAAGTCAGGGAAGAACGTTCTTTCCTAGATCTTCTGGAGTGGCAGGCCAAAGCCGACCGTTTGCATACGTGTCCTATGTCAAGTTTGTCTTTTTGTGTTTTATTTGGTTGAGATCATTTCCTTCAGCTTCTCTTTAATATTTGGGGAAATCTACTAAGAGGTTGCTATCCCCACTTGAGCATTTGGTGGGGGGAGAGTCAGAACGGCGGTGGTGATGGTGGTGATGGTGGTGGGAGCCTGTGAGAGAGCTCCAGAGGAAGGCGAGTAGCAAAAGGGAGGAGTCAGGGCCCCCTGTCCAGTCTCCAGCCTCCTGTCCCTCGCCCGCTCCCTCCGTGGGCTGGACTCTGCTCACACCTCAGGGGTGTCCACCTGTCAGTTTTCAGGTCAGTCTTTCCCTGGGAGAACCCACCAGCGTCCAGGCCCAGGATAAGGGTTCGCTGGATGCTACATCACCAGCGTCTGAGAGGACCTCGTGGGCACTTCAGACACAAATGCTACGAGGACACTCTTTATTTTACGTTATGATGCATCCTCTTCCAAAATCAGCCACTTAAGGTTTGGAAGATGCGTGTAAACCTGGTCCTTAAACACACGGTGGCACATCCACAGAATGGAACACCGTCGGCGACATGAAGGAATAAACCGGACACGCTCAACAACACGAATGGCTCCCGGAGCATGCAGAGAGCGAGGTCTGCACGCTGTGGTGCTCCACTTATAGAAATCCCACAAAAGGCAAAATCAGGGTGACAGAAGGAGATGGTGGTTTGTGGGGATGTGGGGAAGGGGTGAGGGAGGGGAGGGCCTGACCACAGGGAACTTTCTGTCTCGATTGTGGCCAGGGCTGCACGATTGTGCATTAATCAAAACACGTTGAATTGTAAACTTATAATGGGTGCGTTTTATTGTGTGCAAATCATACCCCCACAACTGGGTTTTCATAAGCTGTTTCTAAACTGAGGCATAGAAAATATCACAGCTCCGGCAGAAGAATCAACGAGCCGATTGAAATGGACCAGCAGCACGCAGCCTGCAGAGTTCTAGACTGATCTAAGAGGTCACAGTGACAAATCTCCAGGTCGGCCTGAGGGGCTTGGGAGGAGCCATGTGGCGAATGAAGTCATTTCTACATGTGTGAGCACTCCGACCAGTGAGGGGAGGAGCCGCAAATGGACAGCTAAGTTCCCAGAACTGAGTCTGGGACCAGCTGCCCACTGAGTTCGGCCAGTAGCATCTAACGAGGCTGGTCCCTGGCTGGGCCATCCCAGAGATCCAGCTCTCAGCGGTCAGGGTAGGGTCCCCGGGAATCTGTGCGTCTAATGCCTCTCAGACTATTCCAATGTGCAACCAGGGCTGAGAACCAGCGGTGCCAGGGAAGGTCGAGTGGCCCTTGGCTTTGAACACGAATGGACTGCTTTCCTGGGCATACGCATTCAAGGGCCATATCCGGATCTCCACTGTACTTCGCTGCCAGGAGATGACCCCCAACCCAGCATGGCACCTTCTCTCAGGCCCCATGTTTGCAAACCCAGATGCCAGTGGGCCTTACCTTGGGCAGTGGGTCCCTGGCTTCTCAAATGGGCAGAGCTGAGCGACGGTGGTGTAGCAGTCCACGTCTTGCACTGTGAACAGGAGCCATCAGGAGAGGGTCAGGTCAAGAGCTAGCCTGGGCCTCGGGTCACCCGCCTTTGAAATGGACTGCCTGACACCTGGGTCCTAGGGGTTCACTGAGCCCTCCAATAGAGCTGGGTGAGAACAGGTGCCAAGCCCCAGCGCTCCTGGCACTCCACCCGAGACCACTCAAGGGATGAGACAAGCCCATGCCTGAACGTGTTTACTGGCCAGGGATGCTACCACCGCAGTAGCTTCTCCGTGGATCGACTATACTTCTCGTTTGCAGAGTGCTTTTCGATTTTGAAACCTTTCCCCTACTTCGTCATGTTGGATCCCCGTGGCAGGTATTATTGTAATTATAAGAGGAAGCGGAGGCTCAGAAAAGCTGAGACCTCGCAGGACATGGATGAGAATCCAGGTTTCCAATTCCTGGGCCTAGAGCTGTTTCAAAGGAGGCCGGGGACTCTTTTCTGCAAAGTCACGTGTTTAAACAACAGATGTAAGAAAGTGGTTCTAATACTGACCACCTGCTGTGCCTGACAGCATGTCCCCATCTAGTCCAGAGCTGAGTAAACTCTTGCTTAAAAGACCAGAGAGTAAATATTTCCAGCTTGCTGGGCCCTATGATCTATGCTGCAAAGAAACCACACATAGACGATGCATAAATGAACGGGCATGGCTGTGTGCCAATAAAACTTTATTTCCATAAACAGCAGGATTTGGTCTGAAGGAGGTCGTGACTAAAAAGCATGCTCTCCCGGGGATGCATCCCACCCAACCAAATGAACATACCCCACGTTTCCCTCTCTTGTCCATGGCAGACATTACTAATCTATCAAGCTCTGTTTTCTGCTGAGCCCAGAATGAGGCCCTAGCGTCCATCTCAACACAATGCTCTAGGAATAGGTAGTCACTATCAAGCAATAGAAACTGATCCTCCCTACGCAACCTATTAGCTACTCCAGACCCAGGTGTTGGCGTTTCTGTGACATTCAGCCGGAATGCCAAGCCTGCGCTTCTGATTTAGCTCTCTGGGGCCACTGCCAAGTTCAGATATGTTTAGGAATTAGTTAGAGGACCGATTCCTGAGAACAGCATTAGTAGCAGGCAGGACAGACATTAAATCCATAACGGAGGGGAATGGCATTTCCAGGGAAACCCAAGATAACCCATGTATTATGGTCACATAAAAAAAAAAAAGCAGAGACTGTTTTTCGATGTCTGCAGCAAGTCCGCGTCCACCGGTGGGAGAGTCGCCAGTGCTGCTAACCTAGTCTGGTTAGGGGCCAACATTCATAATGGAACATGCTGCATTGCAATGAGAAGCTAGTAAAAATAAAGCTTTAATTTGCTTTATGTTGATTTCGCACATTCCCTGAATTCTAAAATGTGAAGAGCCCGTTCTAGGTGCAAAGCTGGGCATTGAACCAGAGGTGGCTCTAGGACAAGCGTCCCAGGCAAGCAGGATCTGAACCTGGCCACGCCCACAGCCTGCACTGAGACTCCTCATGAGGTCGCCCAACTGGCATCTCTGTGAGCACCTCCTTGGCTTTGGCTGACAATTCCTTGCTCTTTTTTGTTTTGTTTACATAACCCTAGGTCCTTAGCTAAGATGGAGAGGGGGTACTCGGACACCCCTTGAAGAGCTGGACCTTTCAGAGAGGATGTCTCCTGTCATTTTTGAAATGCTCAGAGTGGCCTCACAATTCGCACGGGACATGCTGCCTTGAACAATCACGGAGCATTTGCTCGGTGCTTCCTTGTCACAGACGCTGGGCTAGGCCCTGACACGCTGTGCCATCGTGGATGAGTGGGTGTCAGCCCCGGGGCCTACCATGGTCCTCATTTACAAATGAGGGTGCGGCCACCCAAAAGAGATGAAGAAACCGCCAAGGTCATGCACAGGGAAGAAGCAGAGCCAAGTCTGTTTGACCCCATGACCTCTATTGGGCTTTATGGTCCCAGGTCACTCTAGCCCAGCCGTGGGCAAACTTTTTGACTCGAGGGCCACAATGGGTTCTTAAACTGGACCGGAGGGCCGGAACAAAAGCATGGATGGAGTGTTTGTGTGAACTAATATAAATTCAAAGTAAACATCATTACATAAAAGGGTACGGTCTTTTTTTTTTTTAGTTTTATTCATTTCAAACGGGCCGGATCCGGCCCGCGGGCCATAGTTTGCCCACGGCTGCTTTTCTAGCCTCTTGTTCCATAGAGGTCAACACATGGCCTCCTCGCCGAGCCCCAAAAAGTCAGACTAGCCAAGGACTGTCTGGCCCATCCACCAGCCACATACCTTATGTGAGAAACATTATCGTGAAAAAAAAAAGTAAGTATGTTTAAAAAATGAAAAGCCTCATTCTTGGGAAGAAAAAGTGCTAATCCAGAATTAGCCTATAAACGCAAAGATACCATCAACTGTTAGTGATAACGTGTCTGATGGTTCTTGGGGACAAGGAAGAAAGGCAAAGCGGAAGCCGAAACCCAACCAAATGAGAGAAGGGAGAGAGAGGGAGGGGGCACACACTACTGGAGTGAAAATATGCTGAGCTGCCTATGGGCGAGTTCCGAGTCATGGGTTAAGGTCATCTCTCAACAATACTTTTATAACCAGAAAACGTTGTAAGGAACCCCGCTCACAGAATAGTTACCTCAAAGACTCCATGCCATTTCTCTCAGACTTGACAAAAAAGGGGACCCGCCCGTTCCTGGTGATGTCCACCAGGCCTCCTTTGTTGTCCAGGATCCCGTAGTGAATGGCGGCCCGGCATATGCTGGACGACTGCGGAGGGGAAGACCGTGAGTGCCCGGAAGTGATCCTGGTCAGCCGTCCCCGAGATGCTTGTTTTCAACCCACAAGAAGCCAAATAGTCGGGCCGAAGCTCACCCCACCTCCGACTCCTGCCTCTCTCCAGAACACGTGCGTCTTTGTCCCTGGGCTGCTTATCTTTAAAAGCCCATCCGAGGGGCTTGACACAGTAAGAACAGCAACAAACAGCCCTTCTCCCCACGCAGTGGTGCACGTTAACGCCATGTTAACGGGGCGTCTACACAAACACGGGGCTTCCCGAGGGTCGGCCCCAGTGCCCCAAAGCGGCTACACCAGTTTGTGGGCCCACAAATACTCACAGATCATCTCTGCAAACGAAGGTCGGACAAAGGCGGGGAAGGGAAACCTTTTCCCCTGAAAACCACCAACCTTCTTTAAAAACACACGGCAGCAAGCCATTTAAAGAAAAACTGGCCACTTACACTTTCATAAAAGAGAGTTCCGAAGACCTTCGCCTTGTTGCTCAGGCAGCCTGCTGGGCACTGGTACCTGAAGGGAGAAAGGAAGCGATTTCCACAGGTGAACACGACTCCGCATCACCGTGCAATGATCCCTGTTTTCTTCAGCAGCTCTGTCATCACACGCAGAAACGCTCCGGTGATGCGGAATCCATTGTTTTCTGGCAAGTCCCAGGTCACCCAAGCTGAGGTTGTTAGTCACGTGAACACAATTACAGATTCGGTTTGACCTTCTTAACGACTGCTTTCAGGTGCTTAATTAACATTTGTGTTTAAGGCAGAGATGTGACTATCAGTGGTTCTCAACCTTGGCTGCACATTAGAATCACCTGGGAATCTTTTTAAAATCCTGATTTCTGGGCCTCATCCTCCAGAAATTCTGTTTCTTTGTTATGGGGTGGGACCACAACATTAGTAACAAAGAAACAGAATTTCTGGAGGATGAGGCCCAGAAATCAGGATTTTAAAAAGATTCCCAGGTGATTCTAATGTGCAGCCAAGGTTGAGAACCACTGATCTAGGGAACGTACTGACTTTGGGAACTCATGTGAAAGCAATAACACACGAGATCACCTAAGCAGCATGAGCGAGTCAGTGCCTGGGAGAAGGCTGGAACCACGTCAAACTGCTGCCAGTCCTGGGAGATTCTGGACACTGTTTTTTTTTTATACTTTGTTATTATGGTTGTTCTCCTGAGTTACTTGCAGTGAACAAGAATGCTTTTTAAAGTCAGAAAATAAGCCCAGTAAGTGTTATTTTTATAAAAGCACCAGGTCCAGAAACAGGATGTGCCAGATGGTGGGACAGCTTCTCGGCCAGACACTGGGACACTGGTGTGCACAGGTGGGGGTGAGCTATGCTTCTTGACTGGAGGTCTCGAAGAGTCGTGGTGTGGATGGGCCCTTGCCTTCTCCCTGCCCGGGGAGGCTCCCATCTGGGACCCTTTCGATGCTACCTCACAAGGGATACTTTTTAAACCTTGGCATTTTTCCCCATTGAGCACGCGGGCGTGATGCTGTCATCATGAGCTTGCGGGACAGAAGTCCCATCGTCACAATGGGACAATCAAGAGCGTTCCTAACACCCTAGAGCCATGAGTATGGGTGTGGATACCCCTCGCCAACGCTGCGTGCTTTCTCCGAGTCGCCCAGCACACAGGGAGATGTGCAAATGTCCCCGACACTGCAGGGCACGTTTTTGTTGTTGTTATGGGGTGAGGCCCAGAAATCAGGATTTTAAAAAGATTCCCAGGTGATTCTAATGTGCAGCCAAGGTTGAGAACCACTGCCCTAGGGAACGTACTGACTTTGGGAACTCATGTGAAAGCAATAACACACGAGATCACCTAAGCAGCATGAGCGAGTCAGTGCCTGGGAGAAGGCTGGAACCACGTCAAACTGCTGCCAGTCCTGGGAGATTCTGGACACTGTTTTTTTCTTTATACTTTGTTGTTGTGGTTGTTCTCCTGAGTTACTTGCAGTGAACAAGAATACTTTTTAAAGTCAGAAAATAAGCCCAGTAAATGTTATTTTTATGAAAGCACCAGGTCCAGAAACAGGATGTGCCAGATGGTGGGACAGCTTCTCGGCCAGACACTGGGACACTGGTGTGCACAGGTGGGGGTGAGCTATGCTTCTTGACTGGAGGTCTCTAAGAGTCATGGTGTGGATGGGCCCTTGCCTTCTCCCTGCCTGGGGAGGCTCCCATCTGGGACTCTTTTGATGCTACCTCACAAGGGATACTTTTTAAACCTTGGCATTTTTCCCCATTGAGCACGCGGGCGTGATGCTGTCATCATGAGCTTGCGGGACAGAAGTCCCATCGTCACAATGGGACAATCAAGAGCGTTCCTAACACCCTAGAGCCATGAGTATGGGTGTGGATACCCCTCGCCAACGCTGCGTGCTTTCTCCGAGTCGCCCAGCACACAGGGAGATGTGCAAATGTCCCCGACACTGCAGGGCACGGTTGCACCACCACCATTGTCACATCTTGTTCGTCTCACCAACACATGGACGGTTGGCTTCTGCAGTACTTGCGGCCCACACCAGCTGCTCAAGGCACAAGGTCTGAGCCTCCTGAACAGCCTCATCCTGGGTTGCTAAAGCCTGTTTCCTGACACGCCTGCCCAAGGCGGAGCCAGGCGCTCTAGCGCACCCACGTCCCAGTCCCTGTGGCATCAAACGGAACCCGCGCCTTCTCTTCTCAGCGTGCGCGTTACATGACGCGATTCGGCTTTAGATGAATGAGTGCCAGCGTCCAGAGGAAGCCGAGGAAGGACCCCTCTACCAAGGACGTGGTTTTCCAGCCGTGAACCTGAGGTTCTGCGTGAGGCCGCTGCACCTGTTGGCTGTTCGCTGCCAGAAAGTGCAGCCCCGCGGCACTGCCAAAACCAAACTCCTTCTTCTTGGGAGACATCCTTCAGCATCCGAGTGGACGGTACCTGATGACTTCATCCGCCAGATGAATGCATTCCACTGCCCGGGGCCACACTGGCAGCTCTTCCTCCAGCGGGGCCTCAGCAGCAGCCGACTCGGGTTCCGCAGCAGGCCTGCGGGAGCCACCGATGGCCAAGGAGCTGCCACCCGCACATCCGAACACCACCCCAGCCGTGATCCTCCGTGCACAGGACTCTGGGCCACTGTGTGACCCCCTCACACAGAGGTGTGACGGAGTCCCCAGTTACACAAAAACGTTGGTCAAGATTGTCACGTCTGCAGCACAGGAGCCATGTACAAGTCTGGCATTTCTGCAGCCTGCAAATTCCTTTTGAGACAATAAGGCCGAGCATCTGTACTTTGAACACATCCTCCCGACGAGGGATGAAACACAACTGGAATGTATGTCCCGGTGGGAGGAGAACCAGAGCTTGGGACAACCGTCTAGGTCAGCGGTTCTCAACCTGTGGGTCGCGACCCCTTTGGCGGTCAAACGACCCTTTCACAGGGGTCGCCTAAGACCATCCTGCATATCAGATATTTACATTACGATTCGTAACAGTAGCAACATTACAGTTATGAAGTAGCAACGAAAATAATTTTATGGTTGGGTCACAACAGGAGGAACTGTATTTAAAGGGCCAGAAGGTTGAGAACCACTGGTCTAGGTCAAAGGTTATCAATTAGGAGTGCTCTTGTCCTCAGGGGATGTTGGCAATTTCTGGAGACATTTTTGGGGATCACAACTAGAGAGGTGCTGCTGACTTCCAGTGGGCGGAGGCCAGGGGTGCTGCTCAGCCTCCTACACTGCACAGGGCCCCCACCACAGAGCAGTATCTGGCCCTAAAGGTCAGTAGAGCCAAGGCTGAGGAACTCGGGTCTAGGCTGACAGAAACGGGTCATCTTTGTGTGCCACACTCTTACCTTAATAAAGGTTGGCATTCAGAGGGACCTGAATTTATGACACAGAGCAAGCTGAGTTACCTCTCCACTCAACCCTGGGAGCACACCGTTGTTGCTAAAAGTAGAGAATGCCATTTTTTGTGTGTGAGTTTCTATCCAGCTTGGTTTGGGTGGCCACCCACTGGCTGATCATGACGTGACCCGTAGCCGGCAGCAGGGGCTGCAGGGGGCAGTGAGAGAGGGATCCCGCCCAGGCCTCACCTGTTGCATGTGGATCCCTTGCACTTGTCCTTCATCTTGGTGTCACACCTGACAACTTGGGCTAGGAGAGAAATGCAGAAATAGTCATCACTGCAGGAACCAAGAGGATGGGACTGCGCTGGAAGACCCCGCCCCCCACGCTGAGGAGCTCTCTGGAATGTTCTGGAATCCAGGCCATTCCGGAGCAGGATCATTGCCCAATGGCTGCAGGCTTCAGGGGGGAGGTTCAAATCCCAGGTCCACCACTTTAGAGTAGTCGTTTGACCTTGGCCATGTTACTTCCCCTCTCTGAGGCTCAATGTCCGCGTGTGAGTAACGGGTGGAAGTACAGTGGGTACTGTGTCTGTGGCATCAAGTGAGAAAGTAGCTGTAACCTTGGAGGGAGCCTGGCACACTCTAAGTGCCCCATGGACCCTCGGACTCTGGAGACTAAGCCTGATGCAGCCTGGAAGCGGAGACCAGGCATTCCCACCTGTGCCGTCTCCCCCACAGCCTTTGCCAAGCTTTCCTTTTTGCTTATTTTATGGGGACGTATAGAAGCCTCAGAGTAGTGTGATAGTTGGACAAAAAGACATATTATGATTTTGCATTATTAAAAGAACCAATGGAACCGTTTCAAACCTCTGAACAGAAAAGAGTGTCAATCTATTTCCTGGTCAAAGAAGCTAAGGATGGCTAAACAAGCAGCAAGTCTGGGAAAAGGCACTTGAAGCCCAAGAGGATAGAGTGGCTGTCAGGGGCGGGGGAGAGAGTAGTTGAAAAAGAGGGGATGGTTTCTGAGCAAGATGGGCACGAGGTGGGCCCTGCGCAGGGTGAGTCCAGTTTACGCTGTTCGCGGTCTAGGGGAGGATCAGAGAGAACCAGGCCGGGGGCAGACTGCCCAGGCCCACTGCTGTGTCTGTAAGAACGTGCCCTCCAGAGCCCCGGCCTCCAGGAAAGGCGCCCAGCGGCAGTGTCAGGGGAACCAGAGCACTGAGCTCCAGCCGGGCAGAGAGCGGAGAAAGGAGAAGAGCCCTGTGAGGGGAGGTGTGCTGGGAACCAGGGGACGGGGAAGGGCGACAGAGGTGATCATGGGAGCGTTCTGGGACTTCCAGAAGTCTGGGGGAAACATCTAACTTCCCGCCCCAGGGGCTGTCTGAGGCAACTTGATGATCTCAAGTACAGGGAGATCCCCGCTGACACCAGGGCCCACAGCACTGCAGACATTCCTTATAGCACCTCGTATTATTGCCCCATTTTATGGATGAGCAAATTGAGTCTCAGAGAGTCAAATGGTATCCAAGTCCCAGAGCTGGTGTGTGGAGAAGGACTGGGCTCACGGGCGCTAGCCTCCTCCCTGCGTGCTCTGTGCTCTCCCTTAGGGAGCCCGGCGCTTCCAGGCAGAACCCAGTTTCAGCCCAGGGCCCCTTTGAAAGGATAAGGTCTCACCTTAAAACACCTGCCTGAGGGGAACTGTCACTCAAGCATAGCTCCTATAAATGGCTTAAAAATACCATTTTTTAGCAACACCTTAGAGTTATACTTCTGCAAGCTGCAGGCCACCCTGCTCCTGCTGTTTGTGGACTTGGAGCCCTCTGAACCCATCAGCTCCCCTCCCCCACCCACCCCCCAAAAAATGGGCCCCTTCAGAGGGGGCTCGAGGGGGCACCCAGGGCAGAGGGGGAGCCTGACTCACTCATGTAGCTCACGGTGGACGTTTTCTTGGGTCTGACCACCCTCGGCTGAACCCAGTCGTGTTTCCCTTCAGTCACGGGCGCTGTCTCCACCTCGTTCATCTCGTCTGTTTCAGGTTTTTGGACGTAAGTCCCTTCTTCGTAGTGAAGATGGAAGGAAAAAAAAATAAATGCTGAGATTCAACAAAAATGCACTTTGCAAAAAAAACAACACTTGGAACCTAAACTTGTTTGAGGTTTAGTTTGACAAAGAATCATTTCAGTGGCAAAGAGAAAGTTACATTTCAGAACAGACCTGGCCAGGTGGAATTCTACCAGCGAGTGAGACGGACAGGCCCTGCTCACTGCGTCTGCTCTGGCCCCAGGGGCTGAGCAGGGTGAGAGGCCCAGCTCCACACCTGGATTATCATCATGGTTTCCTGTCCTGCCTCCTCCTGCACCATCATTTGCCCAAGGAAGTACATCCTCTGACCCCACACCATAGCTGCCTCCCCTAAGTTTTCACTGGGAAAAGGGCCTTCCTTGTTTATACACCCATTAAGGTGCACGAAGACTGGTGTCAAAGGCCTTGGGCCCACTGCCCCTCATCTCCAGCACATCCTGCTCCCTTCTCTGCCCCAAGATCACTTAACCGAACTCAACTCCTTTCCTGCACTGAGGTGTGGCTACCCACTGACATTGCACCCATCATGTAGAATGAGCCAGAGAGACCCGACTCTTGTTTTTTAAAAAAAGTGAGTTCATTGGGTCCCAATCTTTTCCCCACCCAAACATTATTTCTCCACAATGATCATGACAACTGTATCTTAAGACATTCTGATTAACCGAACAGACTGCATTTCTTCTAAACATCAGTTCATTTATCTTCTAGTCTTCATCACAAAAGATAACTATTCACTGCTGGCCAGAACCTGTCATCAGGTTACCAAACTGTAAATTTCAGCCAAAGCAAAGCAGAGGTTTGCTATTTACGTTTGCCTTAATGGCCTCCTCAAAGATCAACTGCTGCACATCTCTGCTGGGGGAACGTGGCACCTTTACCGCATGTGCCCCTGTCCCCCTCGGATATCTGTGGACCAGGCTTGCCTCCTGCTCTCCCTCCATGAAAGAATCAACAGAAATGTGTTTGGGTAAGAAGGACTTCAAGGAGGAGGAATGAAGCACCCTCGTAGACCTCTTCGTGTCATTGGATTAATAATATTCAAGTCCCGTCAATCCCTCAGCCTTGTTACCATTTCTCCGTAAGGGCAATGGCCTCTCTTCTCCAAAGGGCAGACCGTGTTTTGTATCTATACAAGACAAAATTCGAGTGAAGGGCAGATGAGTGGTTCTCCAATACTTTTCGAGGCTGGAATTCTTTGCTTCTGTTTCATAGCCAATTCCCTTTTGTTCAACCTCCACCCCAGGCGAACCCAGTCCCGAGAGAATGGATGGGATTTAAGCTGGGAGGTGAACTGTGATCTTGAGCCCCAAGTCCGGTCCCTCGGGGATCATCCAGTGCTGCTTCTGGGCAGCTACTTCACAGCCGTGACTTCACTACCACCTGCTTTCCTACCGCTGTGAGCTCCCTGAGGCCTACAGCTAACCTGTTTCACAGCCCTCTGGATACCCAGCTCCCAGCACATAGTAGTTGCTCAATAAAATTTGCTGAATGAAAGATAATGCCCCGATGGGCCCCAATGAGAATGGGACTGCAGCAGGATGGTGAAGCAGGTGAGCAGGCGTTGCCAGGCCAGTGTGAGGGGGGGGGGAAAAAGCCCCCCCCCCCCCCCCCAAAGAATTCTGTCTTTGGATTCCTTTGAAAAAAATATATTCCCAGTGACATTTAAAAACATTTAGGAAGGGAATTCTGAAAGTACCATTTGTAGCCAAGAGCTATTAGGTGAAATCTTTATGAAGACACCAGGTTTACAACGCCATTTGGCATGATCGACTGTCTCTGGTCTGCCTTCCCGTCAATGTAGCTACTCAGGTTTGCCCTTCACTGAAAGCCAGAGCTGTCTCTAGAATAACCGGGTTTTCTTCCACTGGCCTTTAGGGTTTTTATACCACATAATCGTGGCTTTATTCAGCCGAATATAGTTTGGTAAGGCAGTCTAAAGCATTTGAGGGCTCACTATTTAAGAAAATGGGCAGACAGTCCTCGCCCTCAGACACACACATGAAAAGTGGAATGCTTGCCCAGAAGACCGGCTCTATTTGAGCACATCCTAATTAAGATCCCCTGTGTGGACCCGCGCAGGCCTGGGGAAATTCCATGCCCGAGTTCACGACCAGGTTACTGTGCGCACTGTCCATCCTGGACCTGGGGTCTCGGGGCACATAGCATTGCTTACATCATTCTGCAGATGCCCACCGCGGTATGAGTGGTAACAGCGCTCACAGCTAATGTTTCCTGAGCGCGGGCCTTTTCCCGTGTGTCCTCACAGCATCCTCTCGCTGCCCTGACAGACGTGATGAGCCTCATTCCACAGACAGAGAAACCGAGGCTCAGAGAGGCTAAGGGACCTGCCCAAGCTCACAGAGCTGAGAGTCAAACTGCCTTTCCCCGAAGCCCACACCCTTTTCACCACACCTGGCAAGGCGAGAGGGAACAAACCTCTCTTAAGGCCTGTCCTCATCCCTGCTCCATCTCCATTATAGGCCAGGCCCTGCCGTGCACGCTCCATAAGTAGCCTATGCAGGTCAGTCACTTGACAGGAGACTTGCTGCATGGTTAGCTAGGAAAACTGGCACACCTGCCGAGTGAAGCTGGCAATTTTCCACCAGAAATAAAGAAACAAGTACAGGGGCTTCACTGGGTTGGTGAACCAGCATCTATTCTAAGGCATCGTTGTCTATATTTGTTCTTAGAAGTTGGCTCTCTTGGGGATGCGGGTATTGAAGTGAGATGACGTGAAGAACACGCCCGCTCCGTGCCCCCGGAGGCACTGGTGTGAACCAGCAGTTGTAACTACAGGTGGTCAAGGTTCAGGGAGAGTCTGGCTGCAGTAAGAGCAGGAAGGCAGGTGCACTGCCAGTCTGTGTAGTCAGGGAAGGCTCCCTGGAGGAGGTGTGACAGCAGAGCTGTGTTTCTAAGGAGGAGGAGGCATCTGTCAGGTTCCAGAGATGGATGAGACCCCCAGGCTGGGAGAGGACCAATATTCCTCACCAGGGGATGAAGGACACCGTGCAGGCATAAGTACAGTCATACCTCCCACTTCTTCAAGGAGCTAACCACCTGTGTTTATAAAGCACGGACTATGTGCAGGTTGTTGCGCTAGCAACTCACATCCTTCTCATTGCTTTAATTGTGGGAGAACAGGAGGCAGGGGTTTCCAACTCTAGTCCACAGGTATCCGAGGTGGGCAGGGGGCATGCTGTAAAGGTACAATGGGGTCCCCCACCCACAGAGATGTGCATCAGTTCATCTTTGAGAAGGCCAGTCAGCAAATGCAAATAGCAACTCTCTGCTCTGCTTTGGCTGAAATTTAACAGGACTTTACTGTCACTGTTACAGGTGGGAAAACTGAGGCCCCAAGAAGGCACGTGGTACGCCTGAGTCCACACAGCCTGCGACGGTAAACACGACTCTGCTCCACCTGAATCCAGACAGCTCTGGGCCGCGCACACACCGAGCCCCTCACTGTGGGGGACTCAGGAGGCGCCCCAATGGGCATCCTTCCTTACAACCCCCAAATCTGATGGAGACTCAACCCCTGTGGGTGACTGGGTGCTAGAGGCTTCATTTGGTGCATGAACCAGCATCACAGTCTAGCTGTTTGTTTTTAATTCCTTGTTTGTTGTCTGTTTTATATCAAACTATAAGCACAGTCCCAGGGCCTGCCTGAATAGGACCGGGGAAACGGGACCTGACATGCCTGCCTGTTGCCCTCAGCCTGCACTCTTCTCCTAGTCCCCAGGCCCCCGGGGTTGACACCACAACCCTCTTTTCAGACAGGAAGACTGAGGCTCAGAGAGACCACCTGCCCAGGGCCCCACCACTGGGATGGGCGAGGTTGATAGTCTCAGAGCAGGTTGCCAGCCTCTAAAACCCATGCTTGGCTCACAAATCCAGGGAGCAGAGGGGGCGTATCAGGGAACAGTTCACCAAAGACGGGCACGTGGAGACAGAGAAGAGGATGGCCCGAGAGGACACGGGAAGCGGGAGAAATTCCATTTAGCAAACGCTTACGGGTAGATCAATGGAACAGAAGAGAACCCAGAAATAAACCCACACCTTTATAGTCAATTAATATTTGACACAGGAGGCAAGAACATACAATGAGGTAAAGATAGTCTATTCAATAAGCGGTGTTGGGAAAATTGGACAGATATGTGCAAAAAAAGTGAAACTAGACCACCAACTTACGCCATACACAAGAGTAAACTCAAGACCATGCTGCCTCATGCCTCCAGGCCCTTGCACATGCTGTTCCCCTGTCAGAAACGCTTTCACTTCTCTCATTACTAGGCTACGTCTTCTTCCTTAAGGACACCTGCTCGGGGGAGCCCCCCCCCCCGACCCCATTAGCCAACAGCCGATGTTCCTGCTCGAAGCTCCCAGCAAACAGTTACTACCCCTGGAAGACGAGAATCACTCCTGGTGGCCATGACCCCCTGGACCTCAGTTTCATGAGGGCAGGTCCCTGACTCTGGTCGCCATAGTGATCCCCACTGATATCACCCAGCAGCGTCCTGGCACACAACAGGTGCTCAATGCATTTATACCAAATGCATGAGTTCTCATTTGTGCCTGAGATGTATTACGGAAGATGGTGTCATCACACCCATTTGCTGATGGGTAGAGGGATCGCCTGGTTGGAGCGCCAGCCGCAAACCTGGTTTGTTGCTTCTCCTGTCCCCTCCTCCTCCCCCAACGGGCAGAATCAGCAGTGAACCTGGGCCCCCCCGCTAGCCACCAGTGTGTTCACCCCAGAGCCCATAGAACTGACCCCACGACCCCTCCATCAGGGAGGGCCTGGCACAGAGGGTGGCTCTCGCTGCGTACCCAGCCCCCCTGCCAAGCCCCTCTGAGCCATCACGAGGCCTGTGGATGGAGCCACATGAAAAAACTCATCTTAACCGTAAAAACACGGAGAGGCCCTTTGGCCCAGCTATGCCTCTCCTGGGACGGAGCCTGAGGAAATATTCCCAATTGTGACCAATGCTTTAGGCACAAAAACCGTGCATTGTTTACAGTAGAGGGGTGAGTGGAAACATTCTGAGTGGCGACAACAAACACGTGGGGTAGGGGCTGGAACCTGCCCAGCCTTGGAGAGCCCAGGTTTGCCTGGGAGGGGGCGGTAGGTGTGGGACAAGGACGGGAAGGATACCCTGAGGGACAGCCCTGCCTAGCCGGGAGCTCCCGGGAACATCACAGTCTAGCTGTTTGCTTTTAATTCCTTGTTTGTTGTCTGTCTCATATCGAACTATAAGCACCAACCAACAAGGACAGGGACCTGCCTGAGGGGATGCTGCGTTCAAGTCCAGCTCAGAATCTGGCCATGGGATGCTCACTGGGGGCACATCCAGGGCAGCCGTGGGTCCCCAGGGAACCGGGGGACTGAACCCCGAGTCTTCTTGGGCACAAGGAGGAGGAAGGAGGGAGGGAGGCGGGGGTGCTGAGGGCGGCTGCAACAGGGCTGGGGAGGGGGCACCTTGGGCTCCATTGTTCCCGTCTCGGGGTTTGTGCTTTGCATGAGCTGTTCTGTGACTCACGGTTTTGAAGTCATTTCCTACCTCGGTAACACAAGTTGTTCTTGCAGCCTCCTCCGTAGCTGGGCGGGCACTGGGAGCAGGGCCGGCCGGTTTTGTACGGGGCCTCTCCAATCCAGTTCCCCCTGAGGACAGACAGAAACAGTCAGGGGGGGGGCGTCACTCGAGGGTCCAAGTCACCCCTTTCCTGGCCCCACTCGGGGCTGAACACAGTGGGGGAGGAGGGCGGTGGTTGCCATGTAAAGGGAAAGAGGAGCTGCCAGGGCCCCTCTGAGCGCAGAGTCTAAAGAATTCTAGAAGAACCCCGGCTGAGAGTGACATGTCCCCTCCCTGACCTTAGTGTGTGTGCCAACACCCGCTGGCCCCACAGGTACCGCTGCTGCTCCCCTCGCACAACTCTGAACACTGTCTACCCCACCCAGCCCCAGCGCCTTTGTCCCGGGAAGCTGCCAGGACCCCTCTTTTCAAACATTTTCAAATGAGTGAGTGTTTGGACCACACACCCAACCCAGGTCACCCATCCTTCCAGCACCCAGAGGGACGTGCTGGAATTCAATCCTTTGACACAGGAAGGGACTGAGGCTCAGAGCGGCTCAGCGACTTGAATGAGGTCACACAGCGAGATGGGAACCCAGGCTGTGGGGCTCAGAGCCTCTGACCACACTCGGCTCTTAGGGCTGAGACCAAGGTCCCTCTGAGCAGCCCAGGCACCGTCCATCCCCCTCGGAAGTTCCTGGGGCAGGAGGAACATCACAGTCTGGAGGCCACTCGGTGAGATTTCTCCGGGGGCCAGGGAGCAGGTGGTGAGTGGAATTCCCAAATCCTTCTCATAGCATCTAAGTCTTTGGCAGCACAAACTGGAGCTGTGAGTGACCGGGGACCAGGCTCTGTGATTTGTCCTAGAAACTTCCTACGTGGTCGCCCAGTCATCCATTCGTTCTCCCAGGAAAGGGATTCGGGCCTGCTGCTAGGCCATGCCGGGCCCCCGCCTCCTCCAGCTGAGTGATGAAGAGCAGATGCCCTAGTTCGGACCCCAACCCTGACAGCTGGTGACCCCCGCTTTCCCCAGCCCTGAGCCCATCTGCTCTGTAATTGGGGGGGCGGGTGACAGGTGAGTGACTGTATGGACACCTCAGACCCAGGCCCGGCTCAGGTGAAGGCCACACGCTCTGAGCGCTTCCTAAGCCAAAAAGCGTGTCCAGGTGATGTTTCTGACAGCTTTCCAGGGAGGCCAGGGAGGGCCCTGTGGGTGTTGGCCAGAAGACAAACTGCAAAAACACGCTCTCTGTTTAACCTCCGGCAGCTCAAAATAGCGGATGGCATCACCCAGGGCCGTGTGGGCATCAGGCTGGGGACAGAGGGCGGGGGCCCATTACACGCTCATCGCTTCAACCCCCACACACCCGGGTGACGAATGGTAGTGTCCTCACCATCCTCAGAGCCCCCTCAGCTGGCCACCTCTGCTCGGGACACGCAGGCTGGCCAGGGACTCATGGGGGCCTTTGGAAGGACTCCCCGAAATAGCCCACTGCCAGGCAGACCGAGAGGGCCCCAGAGCCTGTCCTGTTGCTGGGTTAGACTAAGTAAGTTTCTTCAGACTATCTGGACCCCCAGGTGGCTCATCCCTCCCCCAGCTGAGACGCCAGCCGATCGAGGGTTCTGGATTTCCTCGAGGATGAGCCACACCTCTGATGTCCAGGAGGAACAATGCTCGAGTGAGCGTGTACGGAGGGCTGGCTGGGCGCCAGGCTCTGCACCAACGCCCTGGCCATGGACAACCGCTTTACTCTTCCAACAGCCCCGTAATGTAAGTGTCCTCTCCAATGTACAAGGTTGTGAAGGTACAAGACCCTTCACTCCCACCCCTGCCCAAAAGGATCTGAGCCCAGACACTGCCCCTGGGCCCACCCGCTCAGCCTCTGCCCGCTGAAGGAGAAGCCATGGAATACCACACAGCCATCGGAGAACGGCCCAGTGAACACACGATACCACAGACAGATCTCACACAAGTGGTGCTGGGAGGTGGATGTTGGGTCTCATATGAGACAGACTGGCAGATGGAAAGAGAGGTCAGAATGGGGCCACTCAGGTTGGGGGGCATCCTGAGGTGCTGGAAACATTCTCTGTTTTGACCTGGTGGTAGTTACATGGATATGAGCTGAATTGTGTGTGCCCACAAATGCATAAGCTGAGACCCTAACCCCCCTTGTGGCTCTAAGTGGAGGTGGGACTTCTAAGGATGTAATAAAGGTTAAATGTGGTCATAAGGGTGGGGTCCTGGATGGGATTGGTATCTTTATAAGAGACACCAACAAGTGCTCTCTCTCTCTCTCTCTCTCTCTCTCTCTCTGCCTCTGTTTCCCAGTGTGTGCACCAGGAAATATCACGTGAGGACACAAGGAAATGCCATTTACAAGCCAGGAAGAGTCCTCGCTAGAAACTGGCCCTGCTGACCCTTGAGCTGGGACTTCCAGTCTCTAGAACCGTGAGAAGTAAATGTTTATTATTTAAGCGCCCAGTTTCTGGGTGCCCGAGCAGACAAATACATGTATGTAGGTGCGAAAATTTATCAAGCTGCCTACTTAAGATTAGTGTCTTTAAGCCCAGCCAGCGTGGCTCAGTGGTTGAGCATTGACCTATGTACCAGGAGGTCATGGTTTGATTCCTGGTCAGGGCACATGCCTGGGTTGTGGGCTCGATCCCCAGTGTGGGGCGTGGAGGAGGCAGCTGATCAATGATTCTCTCTCATCATTGATGTTTCTATCTCTCTCTCCCTCTCCTTTCCTCTCTGAAATTAATAAAATATGTTTTTAAAAAAAGATTAGTGTATTTTACCCTCATGGATTATTCCTTTTTCAAGAAAAGGAGTGGGAGCTAAAGAAGAGAAGGGTTGGATTTTTGATAGGGTCTTCTAGTGTATTCCTTATATAAAGAGTCAAATCAAATTGTTCCTCACTCCCCACCAGCCCCTCTGCCAGGAATTCCACCACCGTGGACCAGTTTATTGCTCTTCCATGGGCTGCGTCCCTCCCCATCAATGACATAATCCCCCTTATCCCTGTGGGCTGCTGAGACACGGCCACCACAGGCGTGCCAGATGGTTGATGGAGAGTTCTCTTTTCCTCCCAACCTCAGCAATTCCCCCTTCATCGCACCCATGGCCACTCCGGACCCAAACCAAATAAATGAAGTCATTCCCATTTCATTCAGTCACTGAGCAAATACACCTCGAGGCCCACAATGTGCAGGGCATGGTGCTAGGATGGCCGCCAGCGTGCAAACCGCAGGCCGTGAGCTGGGCGAGCAATTCCCCGAGAACAAGCACATGTTTGCCTGATGAGCAATGGAGGTGAAATGAGTCAAGGGATAAATGCCATCGGGCTGCGTGAGGAGGAAGAGGGGCTGTGACATCAAGACTCGATGTGGTCCCTTCTGAGAGGGGGAAATAGAAAGATGCAAAAACCCCATCTAACGGGAATACCTGTGTCATAGAGTGCTATCTGCTGCATATTTTCAGAGAAAAAAATAATACTAATATTGCTGTGGCAGACCCAACCTAAACCAAGGGGGCTGGGGCAGGGGCCTGTGCCCAGGCGACAGCTATTCCTGCTTCTGGTTTGTGCAGGTAGTCCCAGAGGAGGCTTGTGCAGTCAAATGGGGCAATTCCATTGGTCAAAGCCAATTGGAGCGATCTGGTTCCCCACTTGTCTGAAATTGGTCTAGTGCTAGCCAATGACAAGGGAGAAAGTGGACCGGGGTGAGAAAGGCCTAAGGAGAGAGGTCTTTTCTACCATTCTCCTTCCTTCTGCTGGGAAGATGTGATGCCCAGTGCTTTGCAGCCAGGGGTCCACGAGGAGAGGATAGTACAGCAGGAGGACAAAAGGAGCCTGAGCGCTGGTTGACACTGCTGATCTGTTAAGCTAACCCAGATGCTCCTATATAATAAAAGGCTAATATGCAAATTGTCCCCTCGACCGGGAGTTTGACCAGGAGTTCGACCAGGGGGCGGGGCCGGCCAGCCAACTGCCCGCGGCCCCTCCCCACAGCCATCCCTGCCCCTGATCGGCACCCCCACCCTGATCAGGGATGGGGCTGGCCCGCCAACCTCCCGCGTCCCCTTCCCCCAGCCCGCTCGGCCCATTAGGCCCCAATTGGGATAGGCCGGGTAGATGACCCCCCCGCCCAGCATGAATTCATGCACCAGGCCTCTAGTGTGAAATAATGAGGAGATGCCGCTGTTGAAGACGGTTTCAGTTGGGTCGTCCGCAGCTGGCGAGAGCATCCCAACCCACAGAACCATGCCGACTTGTTCTTACTTTGGAGAGTAATTGCAGACGAGGTAGACCGCATTCTCCCAGAGGTCTCCCCAGACGTTCATCCTCGGGCAGGTGTGCACCGCGCAGCCGACCCTGTTGGTGGTGGCCCACACTATCTGAAAAGACCACAGCCCTGCGTCAGAACTCAGGGGCAAGGCACACCAGGGCACACAGTCTGGCCTGGATCACAGGGTGCTGGTTAGAGGGTCTGTGGTGAAGGGATGAAGGGCCAGATTCCCCCCAACCCACGGAAGATCTAAAATAAACAAAACCAAAAACTGAAAAACAAACCACACACAAGGAAATGCCCCAGCGTGTAAAAGGGCCATAGAAGCTTCTCGTGCTCGGTCTCAGGGCTCGACCTGTGAGCCGATCAGTCCACCAGCTACACTTTGAATAGCATCAAATTGAAGGAAAAGGTTAAGGCGATGACAGTGGTGGTTTTCCGACTGGGCTACAACCCTGCAGGGCCCGGTGAGCGACTGGGGACGGTGGGCTGAGGCCAGGCCACCCCTCAGTGTTACCTGTGTGTAGTGGGTGCACATGGCCCCGGAGCACCGCTCTGGGCACCAGGGGTTGCACTCGTGGGGGTAGGGGTAGGTGTAGTCCTTCACCTCGTCATACCAGGACTGCACGTGGAACCCGGGAGAGCGATACCTGCAGGGACAGATCAGCTGGTTATGTTCCGGCCACCACACACCCGACAATGGAGACGGCAGCTGGCCACCACCAGCCAGGAGTCGACTGGAGGAAGGGCTCCTTCAGGGGCAATAGCCCCCAATCCTGCCCAGCACCTGTTAGAAATGCTTACAACCCAAATCAGCTAGGAGCTTACCTGGGTGTCCCCAGAGTGTCCCTCGGGAGGCCCACATGCCGCCTGAGTGTCCAGGAAACCTTTACCTGGCCCCCAAGGAGTCATTTCATAATTATATATGTATTTTCATGTACATTTGGGAAAATATATGCAGTCCATGAACCCTATATTTTGCTTAAGACAAAACTTGATTTAAGACTTTTGAAGTCAATGTAGAAAAAAATATTGAGTAAATATTTAAACAGGTGCTGCACAGATGGGACACCCCCTGTGGCTGGGAAGGGTCTGGAAGCTGGGAAGCAGCTAGCTACAGGGGGCCAGGCAGATGGCCCCACCACCCGCCAATGAATGGTCATTGTTGCTCAGCTGCCTGGGGGACCCGGGTACTCAAATGCAAGGTGGGAAATTCATTCGGGCCGGAGCCTGTGGCATACAGAGCTCTGCAGTCAGTGCACAGACCCTCTTGAAAACTTCCTATTTAGGATTTCTTACTGAGCCTCCTCGGCCACAATAAGGAGGGCCCGGGGTCATCATCGTTGGTGGCCACTGCCCCTCGCTGGGCCCCATCCGCCAGGCTAGCACCGGTTATTTTCTCAGGAAAGAAAATAAACTGGATGCAAATCCCAGGTCGCCGTCGCCAGCGAGTGTAAACAAAGCGGTTTCAATAAAAGAGAAAGGAGGCGCGGGGCCTGGCCATTTCTGAGAGGGCTGCGGTGAGATGGGCAGTTAGAGGTCTTGTAACAATTACTGTCGGAGCCCAGAGCGGGCGGCAGCGGTCAGGGCCGTGGCCCGGGAACGGCCTGCGTTCCTGGAGCGGCCGGGGAAGGAACACAGCCACCGAGAGGCAGAGCGAAGGGACACCCACCACCCGTCGGTCCCCAGAGCCCAGCCAGGCGGGGCCGCGGGGGCTTGCGAATGAGGAGCTCTTTAGGAACGCAAGCTAGTAGCGTTTACCAGAAGGGGAGACCTTGGTGTCCTTGGCCCGCCCAGCCACTCCTCAGAGTTATCCTAATAAAGCAATTCAAACGAGCCAACAACAACAACACAAGCAAGCGACGAGAATGGGATGGCTAAATTAGGCCTGTCTCCTCGATAGCCCATAGGCAGCCTTTGCGAGATGCTAACCATGACAGCTATGTAGTAGGGAAATTGTTTGGTATTGTAGGAGAAGGGGGAAAAAATGAATTAAAAGCTGTCCTGGCCACAGTTACAACTGCGCAGAAATATGCCGGCCGACAGCCAAAGGCTACACGGGCGCCCGGAGAATGAAATGAGCTGCAGCAGGCGGCGGGATGATGGATTCCTTCCCCTGCAGACGTCCCGTCCGGTGCCATCGGGGACGGACTTCATGAAAAGCAGAACCCACCCGAGGAGAGAGTGCCCCGTGGATCTGCTTCCAGGAAGTCATGTCTCTCCAGATCCAGCGTGACGCCTGCCCAGGTCTGTCCTGAGAGGGAGCTGCCCTCAAGGACAGCGAGCAGCTCGTGGCCAAGTTGAACTCCGGAACTCCGGGAGCTGAAAGACGTCTGGGGCAAAGTCAAGCAAAGCCTGACCTGTATTTTGAGGGGAGAGTTCAAGTCCGGTCCAACTTTTCGATGATTAGGACAGAATGAAAGTGGACCCGAGACCCTGGCCTCCCTGGGTCCGATTCAGAGGCCTTGGCACAGCCCCTAGCTGTGGCTCCGTAAGTCTTAATTGGTCAAAAGACGTTTTCTCCACTTTCTCTGATGAAACCAGCCCCAGCCTGGAGGGGACTTTCAGCCGGGCTGCGTGCCTGCGTATGTGGCCCAGTCGACTTTGGGGAAGGCCAGGGAATGACATTCCACTGACCACTGTCAGTGCCTCCCAAGGGCAAGGTGCTGCCAGCCCAGGAGGCCTTGGGGGTTCAGCGGTGTGAACAAGCCCCTCCATGGCCAGACAAGGCAGGCAGTAAGGGACGCCTGCCCACAAGGTGGAACCTGGCTGGGCCTTAAAGAGTGAGCAGGACCCAGACGTGCTGGGAGGAGATGGTACTGATCCGCCTAAAGGGGCGAACATTCCCATCTTCCCAGCTGCCCAGCCAGCCCCTTCCTGGCCAGCGGCAACTGCCCCGAAAGCCCTTCCAAGGAGATGGGATGGGAAGTCCACGCTCTGAAAACCCCGAGTCCCTTGGCCGGCGTCTGGAGTCAGCAGTCAGGCTCACATCCATGTTGCCAATTACTCGGACGTGTTCCCGGGCACAGCCTCCGTTTCCCCAGCCGTAAATGACACGGGTGGCCTCTCACTCTCCTAGTGGGGGATCACGAGGGCTACATGTGATAACGGCCAGTTCACCAGGAAGGGGGGCCACGCGGCTCTTACCTGCCCCAGTGGACGGCCAGGTTCTGCCCGATGGCCACCAGCAGACTGGTGGGCCCGTGCTCCCAGATGCACTCGTGGGCCCACGCCGCCGCCGACCTCGCCAGGTCTTCATCCCAGGTCTGCAGGGGGAGGAGAGATGGCGCCGTCAGAGTCAGGGGTGGGCATGAGGTCCCACACTGCTGTGACGCCTCCCGCCGAGGCTCCAGGGGAACCCACGGCCGGTTCTGGCCCCGGTCACTGGTTGTGTGCATGTCTCCACTGAGTCCCTCACTCAGCAATGGGAGTGGCAGGTCAGCCAAGGACTCGGAGGAGCCTGAGCCACGGCTGCCCTCAGAGCTCCTGCTCCACCTCTAACCTGCCGGGGACCTTGGGTCAGTCCCTTCTCTCAGCCTCAGTCTCCTCACCTGTGAAATGGGGATGAATACGTCCCGCAGAGGGATGGTGGTGATGGTTGCACAACAGTGTGAATGTACGTACAGGTGCTGAACTGAACACTTAAAAATGGCTAAGATGGTAAATTCTACACAACAGTGATGTACGTACAGGTGCTGAACTGAACACTTAAAAATGGCTAAGATGGTAAATTCTATGTCATGTACATGTTGCCTTTTTTTTTTTTTTCAGTATCAAGAAATGCCTTCAATTTGCCCAGCCCTGCTCCCCTCTGGCATCATGGCCCAACCTAAACCAAGGGGGCTGGGGCAGGGGCCTGGGCCAAAGATTCTGCAGACAGGCTCCGCAGCCGGCCCTGCCTCCCAGCTGGCCCCGGGAACACACGTGACTCCCCAGGGAAGAACAGAGAACAAAGCAAGCGGGTCATTTCTCTTCTGCGGAGGAGCAGATGCCAAGCGGCCCTCCGAGCCCACTGCGAACCAGCTGCTGCGACACCCCCTCCCAGTCCCTGGGCAGATGCTCCAGCTCATGGGCAGGCAGAGCCGTCCCGCTCCGCATAGCCCCAGCCCCTGGCACACAGTAGGTGCCCACTGAAAGGCTGTCTGGGTAGAGCCCCCGGCCCGTCCAGGAACAGGAGCTGCTTAAACCAACTGCGAGGCCCCAGGATAGAGTGTGACGAGGCTGCGCTTCCCTCTCCTCCTCCTGTCCTGCTGCCCCTTCCAGCCAAGACCACGAAGACTCCTCACCTCCGGGGCAAGTCCTGCCCTAGGGCAGAGCCCCTGGGACCCGCTTCACACCCCCTCCCCCCTCCCATTGAGCTGCCGTGGACATTCTGGGTACCCTCAGATCCATCCCTCGCCGACAGCGCCCCGTCTTCAGTGCCACCAAGCCCTGAGCTGCTTCTGCCCGGGATCTCTCTCCCATGTCCAAGCAAAGCCTGAATGGGGTGGGGGGGGCGGGGGGAGTCAACCCTCCTGGGACCACCTTCAGCCAATGGGGACAGGCCTGTGGATAAACGCACCTACCTCCCGCCCTCAGGAGGGCAAGCTGCCTGCTGCTCCCTTCACTCAGCAGATCCTGGCAGATCCCACCCCTACCAGGACCCCCAGAGTGCACTCTGAAGTTGGACTTCCTCCCTCCTGTCTCCCGGACTCATGGGTCAGCCCGTAGACCACCTGCACCAAGTCAGTGACTCGTTCGTCTCCAAGCAGGGGAGAGGTGGGCAGTGGGCATGAGGGCAGCTGGCACATGCACAAGACCCCTCTGGGGTAGCCAGCTGAGGCCCTTTCCAGTGTCCAGAGAGGCAGGGCAGAGCCTGGGCGGGCGCTGATCCCACCTGAGGGTCACGGGCTTCTCAGAAGCTCACTATTTATTCTGTGCACGGCTCAAGAGCGATGTGAACCCTGCTTGCCGTTGGTCTGATTCCATAGCATTTCCTGCAGCTCCGAGGGGAGGGGAGCAGGGAGGGCAAAGATCGAGTTAGGCAAAGAGGACTGGCCAGGCGGGACCTCTGGGGGGTTAAGGCTTTTGACATTCTGGCTGGAGAGACACAGGCCTGATGTCTGGCCCGCAGCAGGACACAGCCTCGAGAACCCAGATCTGCCCCCCTCCATCCTCTCACCCTCGCCTCCCACCCTCCTCTCGGCTCCAGCCATGCTTGCCACACAGTAGGACCTCAGAACACTGCTCCCCAGCCCTGACCGGGAGCTCAGGTGGTTGGAGCATCACTGGCCAGGACACATCTAAGTTGTGGATTCAATCCTGGGTCGGAGCACATATGGGAGGCAACCAATGCATGTTTCTCTCTCACATCTCTCTCCCCCTCTCTCAAATCAATAGAAACATATCCTCGGGTGAGGATTAAAAAAACAACAACAAACAAACACACAATGTTCCTATGCAGAGCTGGCAGTCGAGGGTCTGGCTGTGTGGTGAGCTGTTGACAACTGACACTATTGACCAGTGTCCTTTCCACGCAATGTTACATGTCTCGACTATCACCCAGAATAAGGCATGCGTAAGGGAATGAATGCATGCATGCGTGGATGAATGCACACACAATGAAGCTCACTTCCCCAGCTCAGGTCAGCCCTCACGGACCTCCTCCAGTCCCCACCTGCCCTCCTGCCTCCCCACCTCCCACTCAGCCAGTGCTTCCCCAGATGAGCACTTGCCCTCCAACTAGTCCGTGTCCCTCCGAAGGAAGGCGAAGGTGGACATTCTTTACCCCTCAAAGGGACAACTCGAGGAAGGAGAAGGGGAAGAATAGGGCAGTGAGATGCATTGGTGAGAGCATTTGTGTCAGGTGAACCTGGGTATGACACCAGGCTCTGCCCTGCTGGCTGTGTGACTTTGGGCAAGTGGCTTCATCCTTTCCACGCAGTGTTACACGTCTCGACTATCACCCAGAATAAGGCATGCGTAAGCGAATGAATGCATGCATGCGTGGATGAATGCACACACAATGAAGCTCACTTCCCCAGCTCACGCCAGCCCTCACGGACCTCCTCCAGTCCCCACCTGCCCCTCCTGGCCCCACCTCCCACTCAGCCTGTGCTTTCCCAGATGAGCACTTGCCCTCCAACTAGTCCGTGTCCCTCCGAAGGAAGGCGAAGGTGGACATTCTTTACCCCTCAAAGGGACAACTCGAGGAAGGAGAAGGGGAAGAATAGGGCAGTGAGATGCATTGGTGAGAGCATTTGTGTCAGGTGAACCTGGGTATGACACCAGGCTCTGCCCTGCTGGCTGTGTGACTTTGGGCAAGTGGCTTCACCTCTCTGTGCCTTTGTGTCCCTGCCTCTAAATGGGATAGTAGTACCTGCTGGAATAGGGTGTGGGGGCGGCTGACTGAGAGCGGGCATCAAGCCTCGGGTGGGATGCAATGTGGCCTCAGTACTCAGTGCCACCTTTAACTTCCTCAAGCACCTACTGTGTGACGAGCAGTGCTGGGCCCTGTACCTCTGGAGCTGCCATCATCTGAGCACCTGCCACTTGCCACAGCATTAGCACCATTTTCATTTTTAATTGTCACAACAGCCCTTGAAGTCTGTTTTATTTTTCCACTATTGCAGACAAATTAAAGCTTGAGGCTACGGGAAGTTGATTTACTTGTCTAAGATCACACAGCCAGGAAGTTGGAACTTTAACAACCCAGCCTCATCTGGCTTCCGAGGGGTGTCATCCTATCTGTATGCTGTCACCAAGTGCTGGTCCCACTCTACTCAATGAATAACAGTTCCTAAAATAATAATAGCAAAAGTATAGTTCACATTTATTTAGTACTTATCACGCATTGCCTCATTGACTCCTCCAAACAACCCTACGAGAAAGATACTTTTATTGTCACCATTGTGCCGTGAGGAGAGATAAACACAGAGAGGCCAAGTAGCCTGCCCAAAGTTACACAGCGGGCACATGGCAGCTGCCTAAACCCAGGCAGGCTGGCTTCAGAGCCTGTTCACTCATAAATCCTCAAAACATGTATCTTAACCCTTTGGAACGTTAACACTCACCCTTCAGTGCTGAGGCTATTTCAAAGGCCTGTGGCTTGAAGCCTTGGCGGGCAGGGCTGAGCAGGAAGCTACGTGTTCAAGACACTCTCTCAATCAGTGCTGCCTGTTCGGGTGGAAACAGGAGCAGATGGGCAGCACTGGGCCTTAGATGCCGGGTGGAGGGGCTGAGCCTTGACTGCCTTCCCTCCCAGATGGCCCCTGCACGAGGCGTCCCCAACCACACCCACGACGGCTCGGTTTCCCTGACAGGCAGGCTACTGAGACCTATGGACCCAGATCCCAACTCCAATCCTGAACTATCACGATGTTGACAAAGAGGAAAGGGTGGCAGGCTCGCTACAGGTGGTCCAGGAGGCCTGGCCTTGCCTGCTGCCTGTCTCAGCTCCTTCTCTCGCCTCCAGTCTTCCATACGACCACTAGACAAGCTCAGTGCCGCCAGGAAAAGACCAGCAGAAACCCAGCCTGTGCCAACAGAGATGGGAGGCAGCCGGGACCCCGGGTCTTGGGGCTCCGCAAGCTTCAGGCTGAGGGAAATACCGCTCCCTGTGGGCACCACTCGGGGCCTTGGGGTGGGAAGACCACTGGGTGACCTGTCCAGAGAGAGGTGCAGCATGTCCTTCCCCCAGGGGGACCAAGGTCAAACCCACAGGTCGAGGAAAGGGTGGGGAGGAGTCTGTTTCCAAAGCCCCAAAGAAATCTGCCCTAACTTCCTACAGCTTTGACCTTAAGAAAGTCTGCACACGCTGCCCCATGCGTTTTGAAAGGGTGCCCGTTCTTCCTCCTAAAATTAGCACAGCCCCTTTGGAATAAATGCCTGGATAATTTTCCTCAGGGAAAAAAGGAATGTTTCCTAACGAATTCCCGAAGCCTTGCTCGCAGGGCTCTGCCCGGACGGGTGACCCGTTCGTCTGCCCTACGCTGGTGATGGGCCACCCAGTGTGGGTTCATACAGGGACAGTGAGGGGCTCACAGGCGCACAGGCACACGGGATGGTCCCCGACAGAGCGCTACCAGGTCAGGGCACAAGGCAACATGAAAGCAACCGCTGAGTCCAGGGGAAGAGGGCGAGGCAGAGGGTGGGGCTGCAGAGGAGTTGGGCAGGGAAAGTGATGATGGCAAAGTGTTCTCGGGGAGGGAGGGGCGGCTGTCCCCACCAGCATCCTCAGAGGACGCCCGGGAGACCTCTCTGGCCACAGGGGAGGGAGGGGAACAAGTCATCAAGGCAGACAGGGCTCCCGAGAGAAGCCTGGGATGCCAAGCAGGAAGCATTGGGGCTCCGTCCTGGGCCCAGGGGGCCCTAGAGGCTCCTGAGCAGGAGAAAAGTGAAGATTTAGGAAGCGTAACATGAGGGCAGGACTCAGAACGAGCCAGATGAGGGCAAGGCGGGCAGTGAACGCCCCAGGACTGAGGCTGTCCCCCTAATCAAGGCGAGACAGGAGCAGGATGGGAAGATGGGGTGGGAAGCGCATTGGATACAGAGTGGTGGCTGAGAGCACAGGTCCTGGAGTCAGTGGGACTCAGGTTAGAATCTGGCTCTGTCACTGCCAGCTGTGTGACCTTGAGCCTCAGTGTCCTAATCTATTAAATGGGCAAAATAACCACACCTATTTCCCAGGGCGGGGGGATGGGAGATGGTACCGACAGAATGGAAATGGGTGAGTGAAGGCACGGGGGAGAGGGGAAGAGATGTGGACCTGGGAGAGCGAGCTGCCCCTTCTGCTCCTAAGTGTGGGGCTTCTCCAGATTCAGAGGGGACCCCCAAACTGTCCCTTCTCCCTCCCAAAAGACACCTTATCTCAGAGACTCAGCCACACCCCTCAGACAGAGAAGGTGCCGGAGGAAGACCAAGCTGCCACAGTAACCACAGTACACACAGCCCAGGTGTGAGGCCTGCGCTCAGTTGTCACAGGAACCATGGCAGCACAGGATGCTCACAGTGGAAACTGAGGCTCACAAAAGCTAAATCACCCAAGCCCCACCGACAGGAGATGGCGGAGCTGGGATTCGAGTGGAGGGTGTCCAGCAAGGCCAGCTGCCCGGACTCCACATAGGACATCCTGGCACAACCTCTCCTGGGCCCAAGTTCTCCTGTCCCATCTTTTCTCATTTCAAGTCAGCGATTCTACTCATTCAGGACTCAGGTGGGTCTGGCTGCCCCTTCTGCTCCTAAGTATGGCGCTACTCCAGATTCAGAGGGTTCCCCCACCCTGTCCCTTCTCTCCCTTCTCCCTCCCAAAAGACACCTTATCTCACAGACTCGGCCACACCCCTCAGACAGAGAAGGTGCCGGAGGAAGACCAAGCTGCCACAGTAACCACAGTACACACAGCCCAGGTGTGAGGCCTGCGCTCAGTTGTCACAGGAACCATGGCAGCACAGGATGCTCACAGTGGAAACTGAGGCTCAGGCTGGCTGGTGTCCAGGCCACACAGCTAGGAGGCGGCAGCCCAGCCCCGAGGCCCTACCACTCCGCCTTCCGGGAGCCTCAGGGCAGCACGTGGGCTGAGCTCAGGGAGGTGGCAGAGGAGCTGGCGACGAGGCGGCCTCTGCTCACGGGTGCTGCTTGGAGGGGCTCAAGAAAAAGGCAGAGGACCCTCTGCTGCCCGGGACCCCACGCCTGCCCCACCACAGTGACTGGGGACAAAGCAGAGGCTCCGGGCCCGGCGTGCAGACTCACCATGTGCTCCATGTTGGAGGCCGGGGGGTGCACCTGGCCCCGCAGCTTGTTGTGCAGCGTGAGGATCTCCTCCTGGTCCGACCTGGGGATGGCCCTGCGGGCCCGCGAGTGGGGCTCGTCCTGCCGGTACTTGCTGAGCAGCTTCTCCAAGTGCGTGACGTTGGGCAGGAAAAAGCCTTGGGCTCCGCAGACCAGCAGCACCAGCCCCAAGGGGACGAGGCCGTTCAGGACGTGGCTCATGGCTCCTCTCCTGCAGCCGGAACTGGGGCGGTGGGGCGGCCTGGGCTCCTGAGGCAGAGCTGGGTGCTCGAGCTCTGAAAGGAAGCAGAGGGCAGAGGGAGACGGTCGGTCAGTACTAAACCAGCTAAGGTGTTGGCTTGAGCAGTGATTGGAGTAGATCGTATTCGCCCCACTTTGCAGATGTGGAAACTGAGGCTCACAAAAGCTAAATCACCCAAGTCCCACCGACAGGAGCTGGCGGAGCTGGGATTCGAGTGGAGGGTGTCCAGCAAGGCCAGCTGCCCGGACCCACATAGGACATCCTGGCACAACCTCTCCTGGACCCAAGTTCTCCTGTCCCATCTTTTCTCATTGCGAGTCAGCGATTCTACTCATTCAGGACTCAGGTGGGTCTGTGACTGGATTGAGTTCTATCTCCCGCTCCCAGTGGAGATTGCGAAGGTCATTCACATCCCAAAGGAGTTGCCCTGAACCAATGCTCCCGGTCCCCGTGCAGTAGGACTCGGTTTGCCAAATGTGGTGAACAGGCACCCCCAGACCCCGCCTTGCAGAGGCTCCTCCTATCACGGCCCTTCCACTGGCACCACCCACACCGTCGCCAACACTCCAACATGTCACCCAGCCCCAGCCAGGGGCCCAGCTGCCTGCTCTGTGGAGCAGCAAGTCACCTGTCAACGTGATCCTCAGAGGAAGTGACAGAGGAAAGAGGGAGGACCTCCAAAGGGGGGCTGTGTACCCCACTCGCACCCCCGACCCTGCCTGGCAAACCTGCTCAACAACCGAGCACATGGTCTACTCCAGACACTGCCAGGCGTTACCCTTTCGGCTGCTAGGTTAGTGATTCACACGGGTAATCAGTACCCAACGCACACGTCAGATGGTAACCAACTGTAGGTTGACAAAACCAACAGCAACGCGAGGGGACAGAAGAGGGTGGGCGGGGACTCCCCAGCCTTCGCAGCACCTTATCAGAGCTGCACTTCCCAAAGCGCGTTCCCGGAACCCTAACTCTGACACGTGTCAGGGCTGCGGGGCTGCGGGGTCACTCGCCCCTGTCAGGGAGCCACAGTGCCGAATAAAGGAAGGAACGCTCTCTCACTTTTCCTACTCATCCAGGGTCTTGGTCCTTCCTTGCCTCTGGGCTACAAGTCCTTTCCCAGCGAATCCTCTTCCTAACCTTTCTTCCCTGGCACTCGTCATGGGAAGAGCTGTCTTAGTCTTCGAATACACCTACCAGCTTTAAAACCCCAAGGTCCAGTTTCATTAGGTGAATTTCCTCTGTGCCTTTTGCTCTTTCTAAAAACTCCTCCCGAGCATCTACACGGATCGGTCGCTTCATTCACATCGTTTCCAATCCCAGGACAACCCATCAGGTCGTCTGTCCTCACTCCCGTTTTACAGGTGAGGAAGCTGAGGCCTCGGGTGGTGACACAACAAGCCCAGGGCTGCTGCACCGGTAAGTGCGGATGCTGAGACGTGCAGAGGCACATGCCAGGTGTGGTGACTCTGAGAGTCCAGGATGTTCGCTCATGCTGCCCTGGCTCCTCTCCCCCTGGAGGCCAGAGGTCTCCCCACCACTAACGGGACACAAACTGTGACCCTCCTCCTGGCTGTCGCCTGGTCCGAAAGACAAGGCAGGGCTTGAGTGAGTGTGTTCATCTACGTCTCTCTCTACCTCTGCTCTCTCCCCGGGGAGAGCCGTCAGTCACCTGGTGACCTTCATTGAGCACCTGTTTTGTGCTAGACCCTGGGGTATGAAGATGAAGAGGACACTGTCCCTGGCCTCAAGGGGCTCCCAATCCAGCTGGGGAGATAGCCGCGGGAAGCCACAGCCCCCATCGGTGGGACAGGCTGACTGAGGACGTCACAGGGAGCGGGAGGGCGAGGCTCCTGGGTGGGGAGGCTGACGCTGTGCCTCGGTGCTGACCCACTTGGAACCTGAGAGGCTTGATCCTCTCAATGAGGCTCATTAGCGACAACCAGGTGCTCAGCAGTCGCGCTGGCTGGGACCGAAAGATGGCAGCCGGAGGAGGACGCCCTCAGGGGCAAGACACAGAGCGGGCAGGGAGGGGAGGAGCCGAGCCTGGAGCTTGGACAGTAGAACCGGAATCCCAGGAGGCAGAGCAGAGGCCAGTTGCTCTGGGAAAGAGGCAGTTCTCATCGCGGACCCTGGAAACTCTCCAGGGTCCTGACGGAGCCCGAGCTTCAGATAAAAATAACCGCCATCCAGAGGGGAGGCCTGGCTCTCTGGCATGAGCCACATGTGGCCCCCCTCCTGCGGAGTTCCCTCTGGGGCAGAGCCCGGGAACCGCAGGAAGGACTTCTGCACGCTCATGCGCCCCACTGGGACTCAGCCCGTGATGCAGAGCCCCTGGGGTCCCTGATGTCTCTCCCAGGTTAGTCACCCCACCAAATAAGAGCATTTCCCAGCTGCAGAAGGCCAGGCCGAAGGCGATGCCAAAACACAATGACGCTGGACCAAGACTTGAGACGAAGGGACAGTGAGGACTGACATCATGACGCGTCCACTCTGGCATCACAACAGCACTCATTTGCTTTACTCTACGCTAAAGAGCTGGAGGGGCGGGGCACGCAAAGACGGGAAACAGGAGCTGCTTATATAACTCTCCTGTGGCTCACAGACTACACCCTGGGCTTGGTTTAAACTGCCGATGGGCACAACTCAAACAGCTAACAGTAGGGCCAATCAGTAAATAAATCGTGGCGTGGCCATGGGTAGAACAGTATAGAGCAGGTAAAAGGAATGAGCTAGAGCTATGTGAGTGTCAGCACTAAATAAAACTCAAAATCATGCTGGGCTAAAAAAAAGCAAGTTGTAGGATATCATGCTCATTGTACCATTTATGTAAATTTTAAAACATAAACCATACTCTGTATATTTTTGGATATACATGGGCATGTACACACAAATATTTATATGTATATATTATATACACATACCTGTATGTTTGTATTGTGTACATGTATGTGTATGAATGTGTGTGTGTTTGTATGATAAAACCAGGACTGAATCAGAAAAAGTTCATGGTGGCGGTGGACTCCAGGGTAAGATGGAACTGGGAAGGAGAATGTGAGGAACTTCATCTTTACCTTTAATATGTTATTTCTACTTTAAAATCTCAAGCGAATATGGAAGTGAGCACCGCTGCTCCCTTGAGGTGGACAGGCTGAGTGGGCAGGAACTGCGAAGCTGTAAGCAAAGCAGGCGTCCTCCACGGCCGGGCCTGCGTGGTGAACGCGCCCTGTGGACTTGTCTACTTTAAAACAAAGCAAAACGCTGGCCCGTGAAAGGGCAGTGAAACCACTGAGGGTCCCACATGCGTCCTTCTGGCATGTTCCCCTGCACAAGAGCAACCTCATTCCGAAAGAGTCAACAAGCCACCTGCCCTCGAAGGTTCCAACGAGAACTGATAAAGCCTCAGGTGGAGTTTTAGAGTTGGGAGAACCAGGGAGTTTCCTGGAACGTTCCCAGTGGAAGAAAGCAAAAGTGAAACGATTTCTTCAAGCCTTCTCCTCTCTGCGCCAGTCGCTGGCCTGGGAAAGCCAGACTTGCCCTGGGTCCCACCATCCGTGGCCCCATGCTGGGCGGCATGTCCAGTATACTTACTGTTGGGCTGGAAAGAGGTTTGGCCTGACTGAGGCCCAGGGTGCCTGGGGGTCCATGTTGGAGAGGGGCAAAGCCTGGACCTCGATGCTCCTGCTAAATTTGGGCAGCAGGGGAACACTGATGACTTAAGCAATAGGAGGGCTGGCGTCTCCCCCATGTCTGTCTGCAGGCCCAGAGCCCAGCATGGTGCTGGCGCAGAGGAGCAAGCACACGGTTCTGGGCTGGGTTGTGTCTCTCATAACTTCCTATGTGGAAGCCCCAACCCCCAGCAACTCCGAGTGTGACTGTATTTGGAGATCGGGCCTTTAAAGGTGCGGTGAAGTTAAATGAGGTCATCAGGGTGGGCCCTGATCCAATACAACTGGTGTCCTTATAAGAAGAGGAGGTTAGGACACAGACACACACAGAGGGAAGGCCGTGTGAGAGCACAGGCAGAAGATGGCCGTCTGCAAGCCAGGGAGAGAGGTCCAGGAGGAACAGCCCTCTGACACCTTGAACTCGGACTTGCAGACTCTAGAACTGTGAGAAAATAGAAGTCTGTTCTTTAACTCCCAGTCGGGGTCCTTGGTCACAGCAGCCCCACCAAACTGATCTGGGCATCAGACAAATGGATGAACAGGTTCATGTTCCAAATACCCTGCTGGGCACCCTATGCAGAGGCAAATGAGGGGCAAGGCAAGGGCCCGGCTGGAACCTGCGGTGGCAGTCAGCCCACTTCACCGGCAACGCCAGCACCTTGGCCTGTTCTGACCATTCAGCTTCCGCTGCCCAAACAGCTCAATCAGAACTTCGGGCCAAGCATTTCAGTCCCTTTTCCATTTACAATTTTTTTAATTAAAAGCTTTTTACAAATGAGACATACACATTGTCCAAGGCTGCCTGGAGCTTTCCAATGACAAGCACACGCTCCCCCCAGGGAGGCTGGCAGGGGGCTTAAGAGGGAGACCTACTATGTGCCAATTGCTGCATTTCTCAATTCGCCTCCCAATGTCCCGGAGGTTTGGTTCCACTATCCCATTTTAGAGATGAGGAGACTGAGGCCTCTGGTGTTTAAGGAATCCATCCGAGGTCATACACCTACCCAGCGGAAAACCTGGGTTGGAACGCAGCTCCATCTGACCTCAAAACCCTTTCTTACTGCCACTCCGTGGATTTCCTGTCACCACCCAGTCAGGGGTGGGGTCCCACCGACCTATCTTCCTCTGCAATCCTCTTCGCCCTCCTCTGCCTCCTGGCAGACTGCTAGGCTCAGTGGAGCTGAGGCAGTGGGCCCTGGGGCAGATGGTGGCTCTGTTGATGAGAAGGCACCAATGTGTCACCCCCTTCACAGGGGACTGAAACCTTCACGTCATGGTGACATTTCACCAAAACATGCCCCTCTTATTGGGCTTGAAACCTTGCCAACCTACATCTGCTGACCGGCCTCTGACTCAAATGTGGCCAGCT